CTCGACTGTTTTGAGTTCTTAGAGACCACTCTCACTGGCTTCTCAGTGTCTCCACTCATTTGCACAACTTTCAATCTTGACTTTTGGTACCTAGTATTGGCTTAACCTTCATATAAATACCTCCTTTCGAATTAATGATTTCAAATCACATGCCCCTCTGCCAAATCGACAATTTTCAATATTTTTTCAAACTCTCGACTGTTTTGAGTTCTTAGAGAGCACTCCCACTGGCTTCTCAGTGTCTCCACTCATTTCTAGGGGATATCCATGCGAATTAGAATTAGCACATTAGCAAAAAAATAGGGAAATTAACATGAAGAAAATAGCAAAATTAGCAATAAATAGCAGAATTAGCACTGTACACGTATATACTTTAGTAAGCATTTATTCTTGAATATATTGAAATAATTAATTAAAATAAAATTCACAAAACAAACGAATTGAATAGTGTTGAACTAAAATATTTAAATAAAAATATATTCAATGGCACGTAACCAAGCACGTTTCATCTGTATTAACTACAATTTACGAATTGCAATCGGAAATGTTGATTTGATGACAGATTTCCTACTGAAAACGTATACGCTAGTGCCTGCTTCAAATATACACGTTGAAAGTGTCAACTTGAAACATTTACGTAAACACATTTCAGTTATTCGATCATGCTGTCAATCTGACGTATGCAATATTTTTGACGTACTAGAGAAATTAGCAAAAAATAGCAGTATTAGAACAAACTAGTAGAAATACTAGCAGAATTAGTGAAAAATAGAGAGAAATAGCGTTTATTATTATAAATTATTCGATCTGCAATTCACGGTTATCCCCTAGACTCATTTGCATAACTGAATCGTTGCGGCGAAAGAGTAGCTCTTATTTTTCTCCAAATAATACTGCAACATAAAATTGGCATATTGATTTAAACCTAAAAACCGTTTTTTGGCTTAAATTTTCTGATTAATCTTAAATAAAATTCCACTTGCTGCCAAAATTTTCAAATCTCAAGTGACGTATTATGTTTATTAAACATTAAACATTGTTTAATGAACGCAATTATATTTAATAAAAAGAACACATTCCATTATGGATAGAAGATTTTGGTATTTATTTGAGGTAAGAACGCGCTCTGGCATATTTGGTATTTTCATTTAAATAAAATTAGTTTATATAAATTCGTCTTTTTCTTCAATATATGTGTTAGATTGTGAGAAATGCTCATTTGTCGCGTGACAAATAATTTAGTTGATTTTAGTATGAAATGAAATTGATGTTAATTCGATAGAAAAATACTGGATTTTACAATACATAATCTAGACTAAATAAAGTACAAGCTATAATTTTTGTGAATTGAAGATGTAAAATCGAATATTGTTTTTCTATTCGTGAGATTTTCCGTAGATTTTACAAGTAGTAAACAAATGTCCAATAGAAAATGTTGAATACAAAAAATGCGGATGGAAATAAAACACGTGACCGTCGATCGATCCAATAGGCAATTTCCTGTGGTGTCATAGTGGTCCAACCTTGTCTTATGTTTGAATCGGGCGACGCACAATTTGTGTGGCTCATTTGCAATGTTGTGATACTTGACGATGGTTCCATATTCACATTGATATTATTGCCATTCTCTTGCATCAGATCGTCCATACTTTGTGTTGTTGTTATCGTTGGTATCTTATTGTTGTTCGAAGGAAAAGACTAAAATAAAAGAATTAATTTCTATTTTTGGCTCAAACGCTGATAACGATGAACGATGACTCACATGAACCGTTAAATAATTGTTAAAGCTGTTATTATTTGTCGGTGTATTGCCTTCGAGACTTGAGCATGAACGTGACTTTTGCAAATTACTTCCCATCTCTTTGCGTTGCGGTCTTGGCGTTAGTGTTGATTTCAGTATGTATTTACTATTCACCTGCAATAAAAATGACGCATGATTAAAGCAATAAAATAAAGATTAAAATGCTACAATCTACAATAAAGTAATAAGAAGTTACCTTTTTCAATTCAACGTTGTTCTTCCGCCTCCAAATCGTATTTACGAATGCGAACTCGACTAAACTTCCAAATATGAAAAAACAACATCCCAAAAACCATACTTCAGACATTTTGATATAGCTCACTTTTGGCAATGTTTTCCCCTGCGCCGATGCCAGTGTAATGAATGTCAACATTGTACTTGTGCCCAACATAATTCGCGGCGGTGATGCATCTGCTTGCAGCCAAAATGATACCCATGAAATGCTCACGATCATAATTGACGGCAAAAAATAATCCATTATATAAAAACCCATTTCTCGAGCCAAGTGCACAGTAAAGCTCAAGGAACTATAGTTTCCAGCTGAAATTGTTGCAATTATAAAGCAATAAAAAAATAACAGAAAAGAAATTTCGAAGTTAAAGGAGAACATATTTTTTGCTTCATAAGCGATTTTTTTCTTACTGAATGCACCGTGTCTCAAATCTCTTAAATCGGCATTTATCGTTGATACATTTGTCCACATGTTCAACAAAACATATTCGGTTAGATGCAATTCGGGTGCCAGCGTAATTGGTGTATTTTCTTCCCAATGCAATTCCAATTCAGATGTATTGTACATCCCTTGAATAAAACATAAGAACTTTATAAATCGTTCTATGTGAAAATTAGAAAAAAAAATCAAGAGTAAGTAGAATTACTTACAACTTTCAAAAACCGTTCGACATTTTTGCTCATCAAATGGGAACTTTTGTAAGTTCATCCAACAATGAAGTGTTGCTTGAATTCGAGTCGATACAATTACAGTTCCATCGGGGCTAACTGAAGTTAAAACGTCCTTTTCCGCAGTACCTTTTTTTACCAATAAAATGTAAATCAAACAATGAACGAGAAACCTTTATTTTTTATTTTTACCGAGAACGGAAGATGCACGTTCATTTGCCAAAAATATATGCGGTGTCCAAATTGAATCACGCAATGAACTCTGTCCCATTATAGGTTCGCCACGTTTTGGAGCAACTTTACGAAATACAAGCCGCGGATCAACATAACGCATTTGCAGTAAGGCGTGAATTTTGAATTGCTGTCAATATGAAATCAAAATATATATAAATTATCATGAAAATTAAAAAAAGTTTTTTTTTTTTGAAAAACTTACCAAATCGTGTGCTTCCAAATTTTGCATAAAGTAAATGTAGGCGCGGGTGTAGACTGCAATTGGATTTCGTGTTCCATCCGCACTGTAAGCTGTATGGAGGACAGAAGAATATAATTAAAATGGACAAATTCAACGTAAAAGATCGCACAAAATACGTACAAATCGGTCGTTCCTAAGGTAAGATTGAATTTTTCTTGATCAAATTAATGTGTTTGACAAATCGTTGAAAATAATTGTGACAATGTGTTTCATGCAAAAATAAAAGTGAAAAATATTTAATCAATTTTCGCAAAAAATTAAAATGTGTAGAAAAAAGTATTGAATACGGTGTTCATACCAGGCGATCATATCGGCAAACATGTGTAAGACGTTTTATAAGTTGAGTTTGTGACAATTTTTCAGCATCTTGCAACGATGGACAATCCGGTTCCGAACTATTTAAAGAGAACAACAATTAATTTACAACAAAATGTAATTCACCGAGAGGATCTGATGAGATCTTAAATATTCCACGTTATCTTATCAGATGGTATTTCCGCCTCACAAAAATGGTAAATAAATGACTAATTCGCACAAATGAACAAAGGCTTAAGCCAAAATTGTCATAATTTACAAATTGAGCGTAATTTCGTTATTTCGATAAATATTTGCAGAAATCGACTTGTGTGTTCTATATAAAACTAAGTAAATCATTTTGAACGTGCAAAAAACCATCTCGCACAGATTCATCTATTTAAACAAAACCGATTTACCGTATTTATCGCAAAGTTCTGTAATATTTTGTAGCAAATAAAATCAACAAAAAATAAATCTGCTCAAGATACGAATTTATTGGCGTAAGCCTAGGCAGTATTTAAGAAAGACACACATTCAGATCCAATGAATGTCAACAAATTGAAATTATATTTGTATTTTTGTAGCACTGTACAGTGATCTCATTTTTTATGTAAATGCCGCGACACATTCAGAATTAACGTTTCAGCTTAATTTTCGACTTAATTTTTTTTTTTTAAAGCAAATTTGTTTTACAATTGGTTTTATTGTTTTGATGCAGTCGTATGCAAATACGGTATTTCATTTATTACAAAAGAAATTATTAACGACAAAGTCGTAACACAACTTCGTCAGAATGATGAATGGATTCCAAAGAACTATCAAAATGCACTCGCTATTGCATAAGTTAAGCTCAAACTAAGGTATATAGTT